ACTAGAAACCTGATCATTGAGAACTTCATTCCTCCAGAGGAAAAGAATAAGATCATAAATCGTCTCCACTTTGATAGCGAGGAAGACCAGTGGAAAGTCTTACCTCTTCTCCCTTCAGAAAAGTATGTAAAAGAACAACTTTGTTCAAAGCATTACAGGACCACGAGGATGATGTTCTTATCTGAAGATACTGTATTTTCTCTCATTTTCCAGTAACTCACCTCTCGTCCGACGAAGGCCAACTTCTGTAGTGGGATACAAGAGACCAGTTAGTCAGTATGCTCAAGCTGCCAAAGCAACCGGGTCTCCTTCTAGATACAGGGTTGGTATTGTATAAAGATAAAGTAATTTTTTTAAATTGTAATCATTATTGAATAAAACATTAAATATAAAATATTGATGTTTAAAGATAATAATAATAAAATTTTCAGTGAATTTAGCAGCAACAAAAAAATATTTTACCATTATCAAGTCTGAGGTTGGTAAGACTTATTTTAAGGTTCTTGCCAAGGATGCATTTATTTGAACAACATAAATGCAGTAAAAACAGTAATATTGTGAAATGCAAATTTCAATCACAATTCAAAAGAACCCTTTTCTATTTTAAAGGGGTCATATGATGTTGCTAAAAAGAACAGGCATTTGTTGCATCCAGTGGGGACATAATTACGGATTATAATGACTCATACTGTCTTTTTATGCGTTGCGTTGCGTATCGCGCCGCGTAAACATAAAACCATGTCTGCATTTGTGATCGGAGAAATGACAAACAACAAGCGCTACTCTACACTGCTCAAAATGCGCGTTTGAATCATCAGTGGCAAATTCTTTAAAATATAAAAACTTACTTACAGTCTGTTAGTCATGAAGCACCAGACTGTCCTTGCAAAGTTGGAATTGCCCCACTGACTTTTATAAAGAATATCTCTTTGGATTTGAGACTTTAGTCTTTGCAACTTTACAGATCTTCTTTATGCACCAAGAGCTTGTAACACTCCAAAGAGAAAGGAAAAATTGAAATCGCATCATATGACCCCTTTAATAAATATTCCAATGTAATTTATTCATGTGATGGCAAATTTTCAGCATCATTACTCTAGTCTTCAGTGTCACATGATCCTTCAGAAATCATTCTAATATGCTGATTTGGTGCTCAAGAAACATTTCTTATTACTATATTAAAAACAATTAATGTTTGTGGTAACGGCAATACTTTTTTCAGGATTCATTATAAATGTCACATTTTACCAATTTAATGTGCCCTTGATGAATAAAATGTTTTTTTTTTTAACTGTAGTGTATATTCTTTTGAAACCTTAATAAAATCTTTTGTTGTCCCAGGCTGAGAACATTATGCTTCTGGAACTGGACATTTCTCCACCCACCATGGTGCCCTTGGACCTTCAGAGGTCAGATATAAGGACCCAAGACTTGATACATGACTTTGGCCTTTATAGAAAGAGGACGACCGCATCCCGAGTCATGAAAGCCAGATCGTGGTTAGTATCCTGCACATCATCCATTATTCAACTGCTACCCAGAAATCTGCAATGAATTGTCTGCATATACACCTTGCTCTTTTCTTCCTCAAGGTACCAAGGGCCAAGTCAATCTGCTTCTTCATCAGCCACCTCTATGGCCTCTGGGCCCCAGTGCCCAGCCTCAGCAATGGGGGCTTGTGCGGCAGCCTATCCAGATCGTGGTTAGTATCCTGCACATCATCCATTATTCAACTGCTACCCAGAAATCTGCAATGAATTGTCTGCATATACACCTTGCTCTTTTCTTCCTCAAGGTACCAAGGGCCAAGTCAATCTGCTTCTTCATCAGACACCTCTATGGCCTCTGGGCCCCAGTGCCCAGCCTCAGCAATGGGGGCTTGTGCGGCAGCCTACCAGCCATGAGCCAGTACAGTGTGTTACGCCTGCAAGCATAGAAAGCACTTAATTATTCTTTGCACTGTTTTCATGAGCTTTAAACAATGCCATTTGTTTTTTTCATCATCTTGATTTTTTAGCATCCAAGCTTAGTCATTTTAAGCACAATTGTCTCCTGTATACTTGAAAAAGCTAGTGTATTCTGTTTAAGCTTGTGATGTCATTCTTGAACAGCAACGCAAACAATAAATGGATCATAAACAAACAATCTCTCAATATTTACCACATAACAAGTTTAGATTAGATGTAGCTGAGGTTCATTCACATGAAGGCTTGTAGAAATAAGTAGAAATACAATCCTGAACTGTACAATTTGAATGTCAAACCTTGACTTCATACAAAGAGCATCTGAAACACAAACACAATGAAGGTGCTGTAAAAGAAATAAAAGAAAAAAGCACAAGGAAGTTTGAATAAGGATGCTAGTATACAATATGACTCGTATGACTCTTTGTTAAATTCCATTGTAGGCCAGTTTAGCTTCAGAGCTCTGGGAGGTTGATCACAAATTTAGATTAGGCCAAGGGGCAAGCATTAATCTTTCATGCACATACATATACTTATATATTATTTGAACACTTAAGGTCAACATGAAATCAAAACTGTCCTTATTGTTTATATTGTGGATGCATGTTATGCCACGAAAATAGTTTAGCTTTGCTATCTTTAATCCAGATTAATAAATGTAATCCATTTAATAAATTAAATGACCCCACTTAGGCTGCTTGGGCTATTGGGTAATAACTAGGTAGCTACTAATAAACTGTTTTTAGCAAGCATGTACAGTATATTCCTACTGGTAAAATCAACTCCTGCCCTTTATTTTGCTCACTGAAAATCCTGTGGATACCCTTAATGAAGAAAAATGTCACATTACCAATGTCACATTCCATACGCAATTCATGACTACATTAAAGCAGACTTGAGACTTGGAGCCCCCTACACTCTTTTATTTTATTAATTTTTTTTTTTTTTTTTTGCTGTTCAAATTAATTAAAAGGAGCTAAAATAACACAATTGTTTTTCTTAATTCCATTGTGTGTACGCCACCTAATATATTTGAAATGTAAATTTACTTAATTCATTTGTGTTATAAATACATTAATCTTTGTGTGTGTGTGTGTGTGTGTCTGTTAGTAAAGAGAAAGCCATGTTTGTGTTTAATGTTAGACATTTGAAGGAGCTTCTGTGATGTTTTAGAAATTTGTGGATTGTCCATTATGCTGAAGAGTGGCGCTTGTGCTCAGGCTTTGGCCACTCAGTGAGTAAAAAGTATTCTAATGCCATTATTGACACCAGTCTTTCCTTATTTCCCATTATATACATTGTTCACTATATGTTTTGTATAATGATGAACAAAACTGCTTGTTTAAACATGAGAAAATAAATTAAACCTCAGTAAAAAATAAAATAAATAAGTTGGTCCCACATAAGAAAATTTAGTTTGACAAATGTAATAGAAGGAAACATACTCTAGTAAATTAATTTGACCTAAACCAACTAAATTGTGTTAATCCAACTAAACATATTTATTTTGAAAGAACTAAATTAAATTGCATAAAAACTTTATTAAATTAAATTAAGTGTAATTAATACATTTTTTGAGTGTCAGTTAAGTGAGAGGAATTCACTGTTAAGTAGAAAACGGTTATAATTACAGTGGAAAGCTGTAGACAACCAAATGTTGTAACTGTATTAATTTTAAATGTGCTAAGCATAATTCCTCTAATAACCAAAATTTTTACTATTCTATCAATTATAAATAGAATGCACTTCGACTGACATTAAAACCAGGCCTGTGCCAACACACCATCTCAAGTTTTATATTTTGTAAAGTGAAAATGCGTTACATGGCTGGTCATGTGCTGTCAACATGGCACCACCCATGAGGGGGCGACCTGCACCATGTAGTCTTAATGAGAAGTTTTAGGAGTCTTCTTATCTCTCAGTATGTTTGCTAACATAAATGCTTCTCAAAAGTGTTATTCATTTCATGTGTAAAACATTTTAGCTAGCAAAATGACAGAGTGCATCTTTCTTTTGAAATATGCCAATTGGTTTGTAGCCTATTGTGTTATTTAGAGCAACGACATACATGCATTATCAAGTGTAGCCTAAGACACATTTTATAAATACATATAACTTATGAATATATATTTACCATCAATTGACCACTGTAATCTAACGTGAAAGCAAAGCTCTTGTTGTTGTAAGTCCATAATGATATAGCCTCTGCTAAATGCATGTAATTTGACCCGTATAAACGCTTAAAATGGATACTATGTGTAAGCGTGTGTGTCTGTTTTGGAGTTTGAAACGTTTATACAAATGAAAACAATGGCCAGAGAGCCTGGTAGGTGGTTTCCCATGAACTGTCATCGTACAGTAAGATGACGTTTCCCAGAGGGTCACACATTTTTTCCAATTGAAGGAAATCCGTCGTAGCGACGGAAAACTTTAATCCCTGTAAATGTATCTTGATTTAAGGATGTTAAGATATTTGTACAAACTGGTGGTTTTAAAAAATGCCCTTAATTTTTTTTTTTTTTTTTTTTTTTTTTTTTTTTGAAGGGAACTAATCGAAGAACTAATTTAAGGAAATGACTCACACTTTCCATTATTAGTGAAAAACAAAGCACACATGCCACACAGACTAATAGTTGCCATTGGTGGTCTTTTTTTTTTCATTCAAACTTATCTATATACAAAAGAGGCTAATGGAGAAAATGCAGATGTGCATGTGTACCTCGGTAGCGTTTTGCCTTTTTATCTACTATTTATTACATATTCTAAAAGAATCAGACAATACAGTGGCCACAAAAGATATTTGGACTGTTAGAATGGACAAACGTGTGTCTTTGCAAATATCAATCCATTATATAAAACGACACCTGTGTACTTGAAACTGACTTCATACATCCACGTGTTGTGCTAAAATGTCTCCGAAAAGAAAAGTTCCTGAGAAAAGGTCTGACATCATTTAATTGCAGCAGAAATTCATAGATTTATAACTGAAGAGTGACTGAAGTCTTAAATTAAATTTAAAAAAAAAAAACATGAAAATATAATCTAATTCAAAATATTAACCAAAAACTATCAGTGATAATAAAATATCACTGGTGTTTCGGGGCCACTGTATGTGCCTTGTGTCTAAGAAAATGCATTGATGAATAAGTGTACTTTCCTGACCAAAGTAAAGAATGACTGAAGTGAATGCAGGATGTGAGATCACATCATCGGTGTGACACAGCAGAGGTGAAGCAGCTCTTGGGCCTCCATCCAGCAGCTGACTTCATGTGTGGCTAAAAGCCACAGATCACTTGGAATGTCTGGAGTCCGTTTGCATTTCCCAAACTCTCGAAACATGACCACTTTTGAATGTAACTCAGAATTCGAAGTATCTCATCCAAACGAACACGTTTTTTCCGACCCAATCAGAAGTAGGTCAGTTTCACAGAGAGGGCTGTCTGCTTCACTGAGGTCAACTAATGATAGAATTCAAAGGCATTACTGTTTAACCAAACCTTCTTTTGCACTGACCATCAGATCTACTTCATCCTTTCTCTGCGGTTGCTGCGTTAGTGTGAGTCACTGCTGAATTGTTCACTTGTTCCCGTAATACTGTTCACAGGTGCTTGAGAAGTACCCCAACACACCGATGAGTCATAAAGAGATCCTGCAAGTGATTCAGAGAGAAAGGCTTAAGGAGATAAGGTGAGGTCATTCTACTGATGTTTGCTGAGTACTTCTTTATTAAAATAGCCATTTCTTTATCACACACACTTTACTACTTCTAGCTCCGATTGTGCAGGCTGCCCCTGAACTGTACCACATCATATACAGTTTTTTTTGTCTTTTTTTTTCAAATTTAATATGGCCACATATCTAATTGTCACATCTCTTTTTTTGTTTCATTTCTCTGTTGTCTTCCAGAAGGTAAGATTATACAGTAGTACACCCTACCCTCCAACTAACTTAAATCCATTAGCCAATCCCTGTGCATGTTATTAACATTTCCCCAGTTGACATGGCATGCAAAGGGTCTCCCAAGAGCGAGGACCTAATGGCCATGGCTTTGACCAGAGTGCTTGTCCTCAGAAATGCCTAGTGGCCTGTTGTGCTTCTGCCAGATTTGCTCTGTTTGAAGATGCTACATAATAACTACGTACTAAATGTGTTTAACCTCCTTAAACCTGTATTTTTATCATTGTGATTTATTTTGTTATAGGCTAAAACGTTAATCAGATTTCTTGAAAAGACAAATAGTACAAAACAAAAATAATAGAAAATATAACTCCCTCAGTGTTGTGATCTTTAAAACTAAAACTTTTAAAAAACTTTTTATGAATTGAAATAAAGCTGAAATAAGATCAAATGTAAATTGGATGAAAAACTGAAAATTAAAAATATTGCATTGACAACTAACTAAAATATGTTTGTAAGTTCAAGCACTAAATCACTAACTGCAAGTAAATAAAAACTAAAACTGAACTGTCTAAAACCAAAACTGAATAAAAATAACAATATATTTAACCAAAATAGTAATACAAAAAAGAAATTATTTAAAAAATTTAATAAGTATTCCTTTCACATACAAACTATACATAAGTTATTTATTTATTTATTTTTGGCTTTACATTTACATTTATATTTTCTTTGCATACAATTGAAATTTGAAAGATTGTCTTAAAGGGATAGTTCACCCAAAAATGAAAATTTGATGTTTATCTGCTTACCTCCAGGGCATCCAAGATGTAGGTGACTTTGTTTCTTCAGTAGAACACAAACGAAGATTTTTAACTCAAACCGTTGCAGTCTGTCAGTCATATAATGGAAGTGAATGGGAATCACGGCTTTGAGAGTAAAAAAAAAACATACACAAACAAAACCAAATTAAACCCTGCGGCTCGTGACGATACATTGATGTGTAAAGACACGAAACGATCGGTCTGTGCAAGAAACTGAACAGTATTTATATCGTTTTTTTTACCTCTGATGCACTGCAATGTCTGAACTGTCCTGAACACGTCCTCGACAGCCGGCCGTGACGCGTCTTCTTCTTCTTGCTTTACGGCGCATCGCAGACTTATAAGTGCATTACCGCCGCCTATCTCTCAAATGGACCATTGACACTCCTAATTGAGATTGCAGATATGTCAATGGTCCATTTGAGAGATAGGTGGCGGTAATGATAGATCGTTTTGTAGAAGTTTAGACTATACTAGTATAACTTACCTGTATTTTGTACATTTTGCATTTTGCTGCACAGTTATAAATGGAAGACATAACAAATAACACTGTTAATATGTTTTTGTTATGCCCAGATCAAGAGACAGACATTTGTAGTGTTTTTTTTTTGTTGGCATATTCAGTCGTTCAGACTACTTGTAATGTAGCATGTTTTCAGTATTTTTTATATAAAATAATTTTACTTCATTTAAATTTATATTGACATACATGCTAGGGGTGTAACGGTTCACAAAATTCACGGTTCGGTTCGATACGACACAGGGGTGTCACGGTTCGGTATGTTTTCGATACAACAAAAACAGAAATGCCAGACAAATTTCCTTGATTTTTCCTTTTTGTTCTTTCTTTTTTTTTTTTACTAGCATCATATGATCTTAAAAATATTTTAGACTTTGGAAGGCCTTTTGACTTCTGCCGTTTATCTAAGATGATTTGAGAAGCTTTTTTAACATTCGTTTTTTATTTTAACATTCGTTTTCCACCGTGTTTGCTGATTTTCAATGTTTTATATTTAAACTTTGTCTAAGTTATTTGTTATTTTATATTAGGCCTGTAGCATGTTGTGTTTGTATTCGTTTTGTTAATAAATTAAACATTCTATGTTTAATGCAAGTGAGTTTATCGTACTGTTTTGTTGTTGTCAATTCAATCAATTGACGCCGAAATGCCGTTAGTTCGAAAGTGAAAGTAAAATGCGCACAAGCATTTACAAGCTATTTAAAAGCGAATAAAAGCGAGGAAAAGAGGGAAAACTCTTAACAAACTACCTCACCGTCATAACCTGGAGTACATTATATTTCACACACTTTAAGCTCTTTTTTTTCCCCAAATGTAATAGGATTACTGTCTCCAACGAATCGTTCGGTTTGTAATGCGTAGGCTACCGAACCGAAAGCCTCGTACCAAACGGTTCAATACGAATACGTGTATCGTTACACCCCTAATACATGCACAATTACCTGGAAATTAATCACTGAACCGTGCTCTTTGTTGCAGCTTTTCAGTTGTGTGAAGAGGGCATTTGATTTAATCAGCTGATTTATTTATTTTTTCATTTTTCAGTGGGACGTCGCCTCTTGCCTGTCTCAATGCCATGCTCCATACAAACTCACGCGGAGAGGAAGGGATCTTCTACAAGGTCCCCGGCAGAATGGGAGTCTATACACTGAAGGTAAACATGCTTAACCAGAACCAGAATCTCACTGCAACTCTCACAGAATAATTGTTTCTTACCTGTGCTCAGTTTCTGTAACTCATGGTGCTAGCATCACAACAATCATAGATTCAATTTTCAGAAGATGTACAGAGCGCAACAGTTGGGTTCTGGAAATAAAAAGTCCATTCATTTACCCCATGAGGAAAGTGCTTTTTAACAATAATTGGTAAACCTTTAAAGACAGACCTGTTGTGAGCTCCAAGGTTATTACTCGATGGTATGTGCTTTTGTGGAAGCCATCTGTTCTCATTATTTCAACTTATTTTTAAAATAATCATGTTTAACAGCAGAATTTGTCATGAAAAACTACAGCACCCATGATGCTATAGATCGCGGTGAGCAAATTGTGCCATCACTACAGATCTCTGTAGTGAACGACCTCTCCCATGAAGCACCGCGTAGGACGTAATCGAGATGGTCTCCTTACTCTCTCAAAACTCAAAATACTTATATACATATGTATATATGCATATTTTGCAACAAACAAACCATTTAAAAAAATAATTATTTCATATTTCACCATTGTTTTTAATTTGATTATGTCATTTGCAATGCTTTGTAGGATTGCAGTTCTTTCCTTCACTAAAGCTGTTAGGTACACAAGTCTTGTACCACTGTCTTTTTGCCTGATTTTCAAATACTTTTTGCTTCAGATATAAGTTTGTAATGTTGTGATTCACCTCGTAATGTTCTTGGCTTATAATGCTTTAACAAAGCATTTTTCAAAATCCCTATGGGAAAAATGAATGGAAAAAATATTTCAGGAACCAACACTGCTGAAAAAGTGAACGGACACTATTGCACTATATTGCTAACATGTCTACCGTGAATGCACTGTAAGTTGCATTGGAAAAAAGTGTCTGAATAAAAGTAAATATAAATGTTTATATATTTTCTCTTGCTTTGGTTTGTTCATATGGTGCTGAATGACATGAATATTTACTGTACCACTGCTATAATTAATGCTCAGTTAACGGTAGCATAACAGTCCGCACTTCTCCCAATGATCTATTAAATGTATTAATTAACGTTAACTGTTTGATCAGATTCAAAAGAGCTGTTTTATTGGAAATTACTTAGTGTTGGGCATGTGATGTGTATGGCTTGTGTTTGTATGTGAGCAGAAGGACATTGGAGATGTGGTGAAGGAACTGTCAGAAGATGCTTCAGAGGACAGCAGTGATAACATGTCTGATACCCGAAGCACAGAAAATACCAGCACCACTACCTACAGCAAAGATGGACGCAGAGGAAGGTGGAAGAGGAGAGGTATCATATTTCAAGAATTCTGAATAGCCACACTTGGAGCTGGAGTGTATACATTTTGCACCCCTAGTGTCACCAAACAGAACTGCAGAATTAATAGTCATTTTTAAACAGGTTTCCTGAACATTCCACCTGTCTTGGACCACTGAAACAGAGCAATGATATTACCAAAGTGCTACTTCCACTTTTGGGGGTATTAGCATACAAACGGCTTGTTTCTGTGTATTAAACTGGGATAGAACAAACTATTTTAATATTTAACATATCATTTCTTACTTTAAATGCAATATACATGACCATTCAAATGTTTGGGGTTGGTAAGATTTTTTAAAATGTTTTTGAAAGAAGTCGCTTTTTCTCACCAAGGCTGCATTATTTGTGCAAAAATGCAGTAAAAACAGTAATATTGTGAAATAATTTTACAATTTAAATGATTTTTTTCTATTTTAATATACTTTCAAATGTCATTTATTCCTGTGATGGCAAAGCTGAATTTTCTAGCAGTCACTAACTACTACACTATCCTTCAGAAATCATTCTAATATGCTGATTCGCTGCTCAAAAAACATTTCTTATTATTTATATATATTTATGTTGAAAACAGTTATGCTGCTTAATATTTTTGTGGAAACCATGATGCGGGGGTCTGAATACTTTCCGTACCCACTGTATATATATATATAAAAAAAATGTTGTAACATAACATTATACATGGAAATTATATACATTTCGTCCAAAAGTTTTTTAGAGGGTGAAGCGTATTTTGTCAAGTATAACTACTAATAAAAACTTTAAGAAATCTAAAATTGTAGTTAATCAAATCATTGTTAAATCATGCCATGTGTTGTGGCATGGAGTATGTAGATTACATGCTGAACCATGAATGTGTAACTCATATGCTGACTCTGATATGATGTGTATAAATTACCTCACATCTAAGGGTAGGTGTGCCTCGTTCAAGTCAAAATATTCTTTGAATGCAAAACACCCTCTTAACAGGAAATTCTACTTTTTTTTTTGCAAAATTTATACCACTTCCTCATATAAATGAGAGTAGTACGAACGAAGCTAACTAAACAAACACAAGTTTTACCTCAATTCATCTTGCAGAAGCTAAATATTTGAGAATAATGCAATCTAAAAGAGTGAATTCATGCAGAACCAAGTACTGTAAGTAAGACTTTCATCTTAATATGCTGGTGAAACTTTAAAACTGTGGATTTGAGAAAATTAAGATTGTTGTCAGAGAGAAAAAAAAACGAACTCTGCAAAAACCAGGAAATAATAATTGCCGTGACAGCACATTATTTATGGGAGGTAGTTTCATCAAGTGTTTGACTTTTTAAAAACACCCATCCTTTAATAAATGTGCTTTGATGACTATGTAGTTATATTACAGTGAAACACATTGTTTTAATTTTTAGGGCTTCTGTTCTGATCTCAGTACCTGGTTGTTTTTAGTTTACTATTGGACCAGTGCTGTGTTGCCACTACATGTTACATTTGCTAAATGTATAAATGTGTTTTTATGCCTTGCAGACTCAAACATTTGGTTTTCTGTTATGGACTGAATAATGTTGTTGTGAATTCTACAGATTTAAATATGTCACAAAGGAAAGTTTAAAAAGTGTATTTATGAATTTATAGTTGTCATGGAACAACGTAATAGCAATGTAATTTCCAAGTGATAGTGCAAATTAAAAACATTTTGTAATAAAACATTTTAAAATATATTTTTTAAATATATCTTTTTTTTTATATTTAAAGTATAGACTGCACTAATCCTGTACCTATATTGTACTTTTCAATGTGTTTGCAAACTGGTTGTGTATTTGTATTGAAATTACCTTGAATCATCATGGAGTGAAATTAAGTTTGTGCATATACCTGTTCGATTGTGTGTGTGTGTGTGAGTATAAATGTCTTTGTGGTACAAACATGCACCCAATGTATTGCTTTCCTATCATTCTCAGTGCCAGCAAAACTGCAATCTCAGCCATCCTCACCACAGTCTCGCTGTTCATCTCCGTCAGTCTCCAGCAGCAAACTCATGTCCCCATCACAGAAACACAGCAAGAAGGCCCTAAAACAGGTACTGCCAGTTACACTTATTTATTCTGCTTTATATATATAAAAAAATATATGGGAATGTCTATTTGGATAATGAGTACCCAGACCTGCTGTGATATTACTGTTGGTTGGTTTAAACCTTGAGCTGTTGAGACCTCTTGTGCTTTCTGTTTGCAACACAGCAGTAACCTGTTATGTAACCTGTGGGTTTATATACATTTTCGTTTTTGATGTGCTTCATTTATAGGCACTGAAACAGCAGCAGCAGAGGAATCAGCGGCGGCAATGTGGAATCCCCAGCGCCTCCAGCCCACGACTGCTCCTCAAGACTGTCAAAGACATGGCTCATGACTCCTCCAAATCCTGTACATACAGTATTTGATGTTACAGTTTTTCAATGTGAATTTTAATCAAATTAAAGCATGCTCTTTAGGCATGTCCAAATTTTTGACTGGTACTTCATGTTCATGTAAATACAAAAGAAATATAAAACAGTATGTCTCTGTTTGCTCTAGCCTGGGAGCTGAAACAGACAGAGCGCTGCCCTGCAAGTCCACAGAACTCTACCTCCAGCTCGTCCTCCTCTGTCAAAGCAGATGTGTGCCACACGACTGGTGCCCGAAAGGTGTCTCAGCGCTCCAGTCAGCTCAGTGCCAGTGAGTATCGTCACAGATCACTGTAATTCGTGTCAGCTCATGAGATGCTGAAACTGATCCCACCACCTTGGATTTTCAGGACAACTGAGGCGTACCAAGTGTGAGATAGATGTTGAGACACCAGATTCCATCCTTGTCAACACCAACCTGCGAGCGCTCATCAACAAGCACACATTCTCAATGTTGCCTACAGAGTGTCAACAGAAGCTTCTTAAGATGCTGCCAGAGGTTGACCAGCAGGTAGTGAAACACTGAAGAACCCTGCGGTGTTGAACATGCAGTATGATTTTGTGGATCGTGAATCTCTGATTGTTATTAATAATAGAATTGTGATGCAAACACTTTGCAGGCTAGTATGGATGGTGCACTGAAGGTGACCAGCTCTGCCTTGAACAATGAATTCTTCACATCAGCAGCACAGTCTTGGAAGGAGAGGTTGTCAGAGGGTCAGTTGTTGTCCTCATTGATTAAAAGTAGTTAAAAGCTTAAATGTACAAAAAAATTATTTTTTTGTTTTGCTGGCATTGCTCTTGAACAGCAGTGGTCTTGAAATTCAAGTGAAATTATCAGTGAGGAATCTGTATAACACAGAAGCAAATATACTCAGAAAGTATATAATGTATATAAAAAATACCCTATATGGTGTACTTGTCTCCCAGGACAGTATTCTGCAACCGAAAGTGTCCAATAATAGAGGGGTTACAGAAATAAAATGAGTAGTATTTGGCATGTCATGTGATCTCAATGTGGCAGCAACCATGAAAAGGCAATGTGCTGTAGAAAAATACAGATTTTTCTAGGTTTCTGATATTGTCATGTGAATGTACCTAATAGTTAACATTTTTTAAATGTTTATTCTTTAGGAATATACCTTTTTACAGTGGAAAAAGTTGTGTAACAGTGTGCTGTTAATAAGCAAATTAATCTGCAATATTTGTGTGACTTATGCAAGACTGTGTTCTCAGGTGAGTTCACACCAGAGCTGAGACTGAGAATGCGGCAAGAAATTGAGAAGGAAAAGAAGGTGGAGCTTTGGAAAGAGCAATTCTTTGAGAGCTACTATGGTGAACAGTAAGTCAACCACCATGCTGAAATACTGAAAAAGAAATCAGAGCGTATGGTCTAGGTCAAGGGTGTCCAATTCTGGCCACGTTTTTGCACATTTAAGTTTCTAGTGATCCTGAAGATATTGATTAGCTGGTTTAGGTTTGCTTAATTAGGGCTGGTGCTAAATTCTAGCGTAATGTGGCCCTCCAGGAGTGTCCATGCCTTATTTTGGCATTGTGAAGCCTGAAAATTGATGGAAAATTGGTTAGTGGGCCACTAGTTTAATATATCATAGGTGATGTTTTGTTTTTGAGGTCCTTTTTCATAATATTCTGTCTCTTCTGGCTTTTAATTTCAGATCTGGACTCAGTATAGAGGAATCCAGAGAGCTGACAGAGGATAGGAGTGTTCCTGAACCAGCTAAAAGCACAGTCCTTTCAGAAAAGCCAGAGACTGTCAAAGAGTCTCAGAAGGTAAACCCAGTGACAGAGGTCATCCACATGGAGTTGAGATCCAGAGATGTGAAATCAACAGTACCACATGTCTCACCTGAAGAGCCAGTCAAACCTCCTGCTCCAGAGCAATCACGTTTATCCTTAGACACGAGAAAGGATGCACAGGAAGAACTGATTCCAGAGTCCTCTGTTCAAAAAGCAGTGGAGCCCAAACCTGGCAGTGAAAAAGCACAGGAGAATGAGATCACATGTAAGACCCCAGCATCTCCTTTAGAAGCAGTGGTCACCTGTTTGAAAGGAAAGGAGACACAGACCCCTAAAGATGAAAGTCCCGTTGGTGAGGCTGAACAAACAGTAATGGAAAGGAATAAAGCTGGATCTCCAGTAACTGTTGTCACATCTGAACCTCTAAAAAGAAAAGTCTCTAGTGAACAGGATACAGAGCTCAGAACAGAGAAGAAGCCCCGTGTCACTTCATTAGGAGCATCATCCACAGTGACAGCTAAAGAAAAAGTAGAACATAGAGTACCTCCTCTCAAAGTAAGTTTTAGGTTTCTTTCTTTTGAACAAACCCCTAGCCTTAAGTATTAAGCAGTGTTGCACTACCTGTCTGCACCAGATGAGAGTAATGCGATGCATCAGAACCAATAGAACCTATTAGAATAATTTGTGCTACTTCTGACACAAACGATATTTGGATTTGGAACTTTTGCTTTGATGTTTCCAATGTAGACCGCTTTAATCTGTTGACAATGGTCACACCCAGTGTAGACATGATGTTGCATGTCGTTTGTACTACAGTACCTATATAAATGATGTAGGTGTGTCTGTTGTATTGTGTGACATATTGAGGAGATGATTTGCTATCACTTTTCTAAGTAATCAGACTTGTATAAATCACCTAGAACACTCTAGCAATCACCTAGGAATTAGGGGTGGGAGAAAAAATCGATCCATCGATGCATCGCGATTCTCTCTCCAACGATTCTGGATCGATTCTGAGAATTTCAGAATCGATCCTGAGCTTAGTTTTTTACCACATGCGCGATGACGCTGAGTTTGCTTTAGAAACACCCGTATTCTGCTTGCTTCCAATTCCTCACACACATACACCACTCGAACCTTCCGTAAAATAATCTTTCATAAAGTTCGGAAAGGTTGAAGCGAATTACAAGGACATTCGCGGGCTTCATTGCACAGGATGCGCTGTGAGAGACGCGCGCTTTGTTTGATGTTACACTTGAAGTGTGCGGTCTCGCCCGTCGGTATTTTCCTTACAAATGCTTTACGAAGTCATCATTTATGTGGTTTGGAACGCAGTGGACTTATATATTTAAAATATGAATCTCACTAACAGAAGGCTGCTTTCAGTTACAAATGCTGACGCGCGCTATGTTTGTGAAGACTGCTCGTGCATGCGGCTGTGCGTGACTCCGTGTAAAGCCTGTGTTAAGCCACGTTCACACTACAAGCGACACGCAACAGCAAAGCGACACAATCTTATCATGCTGTCTAATCAGCATCTTGATGTGCCACACCTGTGAGGTGGATGGATTATCTCGGCAAAGGAGAAGTGCTCACTAACACAGATTTAGACAGATTTGTGAACAATATTTGAGAGAAACAGGCCATGTGTGTACATAGAAAAAGTCTTAGATCTTTGAGTTCAGCTCATGAAAAATGGGGGCAAAAACAAAAGTGTTGTGTTTATAATAATTTGTTCAGTGTAATTAATTAATAAGGGGGGAAAAAGTAGATCAAGAATCATTCTGGAATCGGATCGTGACTCCCAGAATCGGAATCGGATTGGATTGTGAGGTGACTAAGATTCCCACCCCTACTAGGAATGCCCTAGCAACTCTCAAGAACACACTAGCAATCATAACACAATGCCAAAAAACACTCAGGACCATTTAGCAACCACATAGCAATTGCCCAGGCAACCACCCAAAGCACCCTAATATCGTGGTAGGGAATTTTTCCATACAAAGAAATTTTGAAGATCTAAAAATTTATATATTATATAAATATAATGATATATGCGCTATATTCATTTTTTTTACATTAAATGCTAACTTCAGTGGAATTTTCACTCCCATAGTAACACTCAAACTCTCTCTTTGCAGATCTCAGTGTCAAGAATTTCATCTGCCCCTGCGTCTACTGAACAGGTATCTCCAAGGACTCCCGTTCCCATTCCACTGACACCCCCTAGCGTTCGACCCGGTCGCACAGGTGCTCGCACTCTAGCTGACATCAAGGCAAAAGCCCAGTTAGCACGTGCACAGCGTGCTGCAGCAGCAGCAGCCGGGTCATCTTCCTCAATGGGAACCGGCTCAGTTGGAGGTACCTCGACACCCTCTCCAGCTCGGTCCCTGTCTGAAGATTTTTCACCAGCAAGCAGCAGAAGTCAATCTGTGTCGCCAATAAAGTTAAGCTCTGGATCTCCAGCTCCTGAAGGCACAGTGATTCTCTTACAAACCTCTCCTTCCTCAGGTTCCACTGTACACTCAGACCCTGGTCTTGCACAAGCCTTCAGTGCAAGCCAGGGATTTTTAAAAGATAATTGCTCTTCGATGGGGTTGCAAACCACTCTGTGTATGTTGAACCCAACAGGCAAGGATCAGCATAACCTCCTCAGTCCTGGGGGAATGCTAGCACCTTCAAGTCAGGCAGGAAATGTGACTGCCTTGAATACAATTGCACAAAACCAGAGACCAGAGCAGACGCCTTTTTCAGGAGCGTCAGTGACCAAGCCTAGCTCTTCAATCCCAGCAAATAATCCTCTGGTCACCCAGCTTCTTCAAGGTAAAGAGGTTCCCTTAGAAAAGATCCTCCCAAAGCCACTAGCCAAGGTGGAGGTTCAATCTGTGGCCATTTCTGCCAGAGATAAAGGGAATCTTGGTACCACCACTGCTGGGTTGAAAACAAACCAAGAAGATGCCAACAAACTTGGAAACCAAGTTCCTTTTGGCCCATCAATGATGCAAGCCAGAAGTGTGGACAAGTTGGTCAAAGTTGGCACTCAGGACCAGATGCTCCAACCGCTAAGGGACAAATGCGAGCAGAAGAACACCATCTCCAACTGTCAACCCTCCCAATTTCAGTCCTGTCAGTTAGGTCACCTTGAGGGTAGCCATGACCAGAGTGTCCATCTCGGCATCTTTGGACGGAAAAGGTTATCCAAGCCAGCTATGACAGGACACTACCTCCTCAATGTCTCCACATATGGTAGAGCATCCGAGAGCAGCAAACGGCCCCACCTAACTAGTAATACGAGCATTGCCCTCGCCAACTTGAAGAAGGAGAAAATCGAAGCAGAGGAGAGTGTGAAAGGGAAGACGGAGTCATTTGCAGGGTCTCATACCACCTCTCAAGGACACCTGAATTTTCCAAGGGTAAAAGTGGAACAGCAGGGATTTGTCATAAATAAACCAGATGATGGTTTGACACCCCAACTCTGCTCTGATATAAAGTCTGAATCTCCATCTCTGAGTTGTTTGTCCAGCAAAGACGAAGGCAACACTTCTCTTAGAACCAAAGAAACATGCTCAAGAGCGCAGCTTGATATGTGCAGCAGTATACAGGGTAAAACAGAGCCATATCAGTTAGGTGACTGTCACCAACGCACGTTCTTGTCTCAGAAAGCACATAATGGACCTCAGTATGGTGGCACCATCAGCATGTCTGTCCCTCATGCACTGAAGCACAGCATGGCTGACACTCCAACTTCTCCCACTGTGTCCTGTAGTGGTGATGGTGAAACGGCTGCTGGAGGAATGATGTCTTTTTCCGTCACTGTCACTGCCATACCTGCCGGTCACCTACTGGATCAGAACAGTCAGGGTGAAACCTCACCTGAGCAAGCCTTCATAGAAACCTCTGCAATGGAAGACGTCCAATCAAAGTGCTACTGTCGGCTGAAGGCCATGATTATGTGCAAGGGATGTGGCGCATTCTGCCATGATGATTGCATTGGTCCATCCAAACTATGTGTCTCGTGTTTGGTGGTACGATAATGGTCATGAGGATGAACTGCAACTTGTTCATTCATTCATTCAAAGAGAAGCAATCACTGCAGTGAGGGTAACAGAAATGTTACGACAGTACAGCAGTGACTCTCTCGCTGTGGTAACCTGTTCATGTATCCGTTGTCATTTGAGAGGCAAGCTGTTGTGCTGAATGGGGGGAACTCACTAAGAATGAATTGTGCCTGCTAATAGTGCTGCTTATTTGCACGTACTTTCTGTTTTGTTTTAGCGACTGATTCAGGAGTTATGCAAATCAGGTAACATGACCAGCAAGCCTGTGTTATTCTTGCAAGTCAGTTTTGAGTACTTAGTTGTGGCGAATGCAGCAGACTACCGTGATCTGGCATGCTTTACTGGGACTGTTTAGTATGGCTGCAGTAATGCAATCCAGACACCTGAATCGGCTCTTTAAAGTGCCGAAAGTGCGCTCGACTACACTGTATGTCTGGATATGTACCCATGCTTTTCATTTGCAGTTTGAGCGCTTTAAGCGCCTGGTTAAACTGGATTGCCGGTGCTTAGTAGAGACACCGCAGGTTTTTGCGCTGAAATGCACAGTGCAAAAGTGGCGCAACTGTTTAGTGATTTCGCCCCTTTGTTTTTCTTTACAATACAAACATAAATAGCATGCTAGAAGATGAGGTATAAAAAAACGTGCAATGCTGAGTAATACTTCCTCTCATTCATTGAGCACATCAAGACTCGATATTGAATAGTGGCAATATTTAAGGCTTGTTCTATTTCTGTTATATTTTTGTAATAGAATTTTAGAAATGCAAATGAATATACTACTATTTTTATAGATGTTAAAAATCATGATTCCTTCCAACCCTCAAATTTCGTATCTTTTACACATAATTCACACTAGTTTGAGAAACCGATAACATCAATATTTAGTCTTTGCATATCCTGTAAAGCTATTTGTTGGTTGGTTTAAGCCTTTGTGACACAAGCAAAAGAACCACACAACTGAAATACCAATTATTTTGCAGAATTACTGTGAATATGTAAACCTAATATATTAACCTGCCTTGATACTAGGTTTATATGGTACTGTTCAAAGTTATTTATGAGATAGAAGGGAGTTTTGTCAAATATGTTAACAGGCTAGCACTTCTCTTAGATCAGTGGGTTTTACTTGAGAGAAGAATGTAAGAACAGGTTTATACTGATAATGGCAATAATTTGTATATTTACAATATTTATAAAATTGAGAGCATTAGTCCCTTACATCTCATTTTCTTCAGAAAAAAGGATTTATTAGGGTTGCACTTTTTTATGTTCAGAAAATGACTTTGCTAACGATCTATATCTTTAAAAAAAAATGATGATTTGTAAGGATGAAAGAATTCTTAAACAATCTGTTGTACCCTCTCAGGAGCAAAAGCAGGTCTTAATCATTTCAATAGCCTGTGTCTAATCAGTTTACGTCACACAAGTGACATTGCCTCTAATTGGAATAACAGATACTCTCTGTAACCTTAGTTTTTAGGAATAGGAAAATAATGCAGAGTATCAACAGCAAAACTATATGAGCAATGAAGTTAAACACTCAGAAGGGAGATTTTATGAAGATTTGTTTCTGTTTTGTTTAGTATTGTAAATACTGACTTTCTTTTAGATGTACAAATATTTCTACAAAGCATTCTTGTATCTTGCCTAAACATATCCGATTGTCTGATAACTAAAGGTTTTTATTTATGAAATACTGTCCAACACATAATTTTAATCATGTTTGAACATTCAGTGTCGTGGTTTAATTTCTGTCCTGAAACAATTCTGCTAAACAGATACATTTTGATACCCATAGTTCTATGTATGTTAGAAAAAAAAGTTGATGCATCTTTGAATTAGTCTTTTTTTTTTTTTCATCTGCCTTACAGGCAATAGAAATGTAAAAGAATTTTAGATCAAATTTGCTTGGTAATATACCAAAGTCGATTTATGGGGACTAGATAATCAGATTTTGTTTTTAATGTCTGTCTAGTTAAGCAAAGTAATATATTTTAAGTAATTAGATGTACAAATATTTCTACAAAGCATTCTTGTATCTTGCCTAAACATATCCGATTGTCTGATAACTAAAGGTTTTTATTTATGAAATACTGTCCAACACATAATTTTAATCATGTTTGAACATTCAGTGTCGTGGTTTAATTTCTGTCCTGAAACAATTCTGCTAAACAGATACATTTTGATACCCATAGTTCTATGTATGTTAGAAAAAAAAGTTGATGCATCTTTGAATTAGTCTTTTTTTTTTTTTCATCTGCCTTACAGGCAATAGAAATGTAAAAGAATTTTAGATCAAATTTGCTTGGTAATATACCAAAGTCGATTTATGGGGACTAGATAATCAGATTTTGTTTTTAATGTCTTGTCTAGTTAAGCAAAGTAATATATTTTAAGTAATATATTTTAATAAAAAGAAGTCTATTTACAAATCATTTTACAAAACATTTAAGAAACAGGGTATTTACTATATCTTTATATTGGCTGTCCCATTTTGGTATACCTTTGTTTAAGGAATACATAAACTTTTTACACACTTTTTTTTTGTACCAGGACCCTTGTGATAGTCTGATCTGTTGATATTTTTGTATGGCTAGTTTTGCCTGCGATGAATTGATGTCCTCACAGTGGATTTTTAATTGACTTAATATGTGTGTGAAACTTGCAGCTCACTTTATTGATTATTGAAAGTCTAGCTTCTTGCATAAAATTAACTAGCGTGGTGGTTGGGTTGTGCTGAATGGCTTTGGGTGTGAGGTTGTTTAAAGGTAACTGGCTTTCATTGACTTTTGTCAGTGGGTAAACTGACGCTTTTATTTACTTATACATATGCAGCATTTAAACTTACAAGAGACTCATAGAATAACTGTGATACCTCCATTATACTTTATGTCAGGCCTTAGAAATAGAAATTTAGGTTAACTCTCATTTCTTGAAAATGTTTTAATTTGTCAGAGGTGTAAGCAGCAGTGTTTGACTGTTGTTGGTTATTTACTGCTTTCATTTCCTTTGATAGAGTTGCAACGCATGACTTACTTCCTCTATCGCCAACCTTATATGCCTGTGACATTTAACAAAACACTTGGATTTTTAATTAATGAGGCAATGATTTCCCCTGCGGACCCCTGAAATGATATGACTCTTAGTGCAGGAGGTGTTGGTATTCCAGAACTTGGAGTGGCTTCCACAATGTGTGTTATTTTATGTTTTAAAAGTCAAATATTTTATGTAAAATATAGGTGAATGTAATATAGTAATTGTAAGCAAAGTGTATTTTTATCAAGAAACAATATGAATAAAATGCAGTAAAACAAATTCAGTAATGGGGTATTTTTTTATGTAATTCAGTTCATTTCTTCTAATTATTTAAACAATAAGGTACAAAACCAATGACGTATTACATAAAGTGGGATTTCATGGAACGTTGCTATGCAACAACACTAGTGAAAAGGTGAACAGGTGTTCCAGTCATGAATTTTTAAGCAATTAAATTATGATTTTAGAGTATTAATCAGAATCTCTTTTTTTTTAGCCAACAAGCACAAAGAATATAACTTTGCATTTAAGACTGCATGTGCTGATATATATGTTATTCAGTATGAATATACAGATGTACATTTAATATATTTATTTATAATTTATGCCTGTCTTAAAAGTACAAAAAATATAGTTTGGTGGATAGGCTATTTTATACCTGGATTCGAGGAATTGTATTCTGTTCTGCTTCCTTTCCACCAAAATGTAAAGTGCCATTTAAAATGATGTATTTACCCAACTAAGGAATTTCTAAGATTAAAATTGAATGTGGATTCAAACGCTGGCCAAATTTGTAATAATGATATATTGAAACTGTCGAGTATTTATTTTTTTCAATGTAATCTGGTCAAATTTGGACCGAGATATTTCATTTTATTTTATTAGGAAATTATTTGATTTGTTTAGTCGGTATGATTTGGTTTAACCCCTTACAGCGTGTATGTAATTTTTAAAAAATCTGTTTCTTGCTTTTGCAATGATTTTTATTAATAAGTATATCTCATGCTGTATGGATTTATGGTAGCCTATAATGATCGATTAATTTAGAAATGCAAAATAAACATCTTTATGTGTCTTTGACGTAGACATAACAAGCATACATACGCAGTAGGCTATATGAAGATCTACTCCGCATATTTGAGCAAGCATATTGCACTGCATTACATAAAACTAACAGTCGGCTAAAGGTTTAGTAAAAATCGTGCATATAAAGAGCAATAGTGCCGCTCAGTGATGGGAAAGGCAGCAGTGCTCTGCTGTCCTCTGCTGTTGACTGATGCTCAGAGAAGCGCTCTCGCAGCCTGTACTGCAGTTCCTACAAGACCGAATCAAACGGAACGGTAACCACGGCACAAATATGAAGATGGGGGAGCGCAGCGCTACCGAATTGCGGATTATTGGGTCAGTATTTGTCAGTCTATATTAAAAAAAAATTTGAAACGCAAGAGAGCTATGATGAAGATGATGATGATACGCCAGGAATCGAGTGCGAGACCGTTGATCGCTCTCATCAGATGCTGATGATGGTCGCGCGACCTGCGTGATTTCCCCGCTGGTAAGACCATCCGCTAATGATGCTTTCGCATTCAGATGCAAATACAAACACACGCAAAGGGAGCACAGCTAAACATGTCCTCACAATATCATCTGACGGATCCAACTGTATTTGTGGATCATACAGCATCTTATTTATTTAACACATCAGGTACATAGGGAGTTAAATAAAGATAATATGGCCGTATGCATTAAGCTTAGACGTTGTCGTTTAAACGCATTGGGGGTGTATAAGTATTTGTTTGTACAGTGTGTATTTCCGTTGGTTGGTGAAAAATCCTCACGTTGAGTCACGTCAAAGCGCGAGTCATTATAGAGGTGCGGTGTGTTACTTCTGACTTGGTGGGCCATATATTCACTTAGTAGTAGCCCTTGCAACATGCGATTAGATTAGCAAAACGAACGGAACGACTTGAAGCCAGAAGTCATAACGTCAGCGGTTTCTTTAACGGTCAGGAATGACATAATGCTTTCTAGTGGCGTTTCGTTCGTGAACGAATCGATGCTTTTGAGTGAATCTTTTAAGTGAATGAATCTTGTTCACTTCCATGCACTGACTCGTATTTTTTGGTTCACTGAAGTGTCTCCCGCTGCCTTCCTGTCATTACGGTCCAATAGTAGGCCTATTTGAGTGCTTCCTGTGAAGAACAGCTCATTACTAAACAAATGCGCCAGTTTATCTGAACAAGCTGTTTGCTAAATTCGGAATAACACTGTAAAACCTGCAATTGTTACCTATCTACCTGATTCAACCCATTTACATATAGTTTTGCTTGCATAAATGAATGTATTGATTCAGTGATGTGAAATATTATTTTTGACTTGAATAAAACCAGTTAATTTAGATGTGCAACAGGTGGGTTTCATAAGAAAAACTAATTTTCTCCATTGGGAACTCCGGCATTGTTAATCAATGGCATATGCATTTGTTTAAGCCATCTGTGCACTTTATTGAAGCTAATTTTTAAAATAAATGTCTGACAGCAGAATTCATGGTAAAAACTACATTACCCAAGATACTGTATGGAAATTCCACCAATTGGAGAATCAAATTGCACCAAAGGGTCTCTGCAGGGAACGCCCTCTCCCATGAAACACTAGGAACGATTTAATCAAGACGGTTTCACTGTGCTTTTAAAATACTTAAATATTTGAATATTTATGCATGCTTTGCAATAAGCTCAAAATATATTGTTTCTATAGATATAATCAACAACTTTAAACTAATCATTTTATATTTCACCATCGTTTTTGATTTGTCATTCGCAATGCTTCATGGGATTGTAGTTCTTTCCTTCACTAAAGCTGCTAAGTACAGTCTTAAATACTTTTTTGCTTCAAGTAAAAGTTTGTAATGTTATGATTCACCTTGTAGCTATTTAGCTTGGTTCATGCTTATAACACTTTAAAGAAGACTTTTTTTTTTTTAAATCCCTATGGTAAAAATGTATGAAAAAAAAAGAACACTTCTGGAAACAGCACATTTGAAAAAGAGGACGGTACTAATGCACTCTTTTACGAATTCAGCTGCTGTTTTGAGTACACTCTAAAAACTGCTGGGTTAAATATAACCCAGCGCTGGGTTAAAAAGGGACAAACCCAGCTATTGGGTTGTTTTGACCCAGTGTTTGGGTTATATTTAACCCAGCATTTTTTAGAGTGTATGTCACTGAATCAGTCCCTCGATTTTAGTAATGCTCTGCAGTTTTGGGAAAATAGATCTGCGTTTTATCATTTCGATCTCACTCTTTCTACAAATCTCTTTCTAAATTAGATACACTAAAAAAGTATATAAAAAGTCTTAAAAGTTTAGGTTGTAAACAGCTTGTTTATTAACAAATTATTGAGTGAATGATTTAAAGAAGTAGCTAGCTCACGCAAAAAATTTGCTGAAAATATACTCACCCTCAGGCAATGCAAAAATGTAGATGAGCTTGTTTATTTATTGGAACAGAT